AAAAGAATAGTGAGATTTTATTTGTGATAGAACACTTGTAGGCAGTGATGCCAGTAGTACAATATTTTTCACAAATATGAACTCATTTGAGGGATTAGGACATTGGGGATTTTTTTAACCTGATTTGGAAATATACGTATTTTGTTTTTAAAAATAATGTGGGTTATGTCAATAATATCTATAGTTGTACGAATATTATCAGTATTTTTTGTAGAAACCGAAAATCAACTCCGCCCACAAGTATAAATTCTATAGAAATGCATAGATAAATACACATATGTGACAATTACTCATTTAAAACATGGTCTGGCATCCTTATTTGAGCGTGGAAAAGCACTTCTTTCAGTGATGCCAGAAGTGAGCGTACACAAAATTTTTACCGATAATAACTCATATGAGAGATTTGGATATTGGGAATTTTTCCAAGTCTAGTAGGATATATGAGGAATATAAATACAAAGAATATTGATTATATTAATTAAGTTGCTAGATAAGTATATGAATATTATCAGTGTTATTTATAATAAACAAAAATCAACCTGTCCGCCCATTAGAACTTTCGCTCTAATAGAAAAATATACATTGTGCATTTACTTAATACATGGTCTGGCATCACTGTTTGAGCATAGATGTGCTCAGCTAACTGTTGCCAACGCAGTTTCGCGCGTTCGTTGGAAAAGTAGGCACAATAGTGCCATTTTTGGCACTTTCATTCGCAGAGGCACTTTCGGCACAATTCATTCAGTTATGGCACAATCATAACTTACAGAAATTTAGCATAAAATGGCAATATTTAACAAACAATCATAAAATTAAAATCACTTAAAAATTAAAAGGACTGTTTTATGAAACTAATAAAAAATAATCAATGTAAAGAAGAATAGTCAAAACTGGTCAAAATGCCGAACTGCTATTATTTTGCACATAGATATATAGATGAACATGCCCGAATAGCTATACTTCCGTGTTTTCTCCCTTCGTAATTGGAATATTGTGTTATTTTACTATGAATTCTGGGGAATTGATGAAACCAAGTTTTTCTGAAAGTCTGAATTGTATATAGAAAAGAAATTTCTCAGTTCTCCCATGTTGGCGATTTTAAGCCCTTTTCTAGTTTCAAGTTGGTGGTCGCAGTGTAGCATTTAAAACAATTAATAGTGATTAAAATACAAATATTTATACACACAAAAGACCTTTTTGCCGACTTCGGGCCGAAGAATCTGGGCTTGTAATTTATTTTTAACAAAAACGGCCGCTAGGGGGCGCTTTAGTTTAAAAAAACATGGAAGGAATATGAAGGAAAACTGCAAACAATGCTTCTCAACCAGCAGCCGCAGTGTTTTTGGTAAAAATAAACGCCTTTTGATAAAAAATAAACTGCAGATTCAGATTCCTCGTGCCCGAATATCTCCAGAAAAGTATTTCGATGGTATGAATATTTTCTTTTTAAACACTTTTAAACATTTTAAACGTCTGCGACTACCAATTTCAAATTGAAAAAAAAAAGCTTAAAATCGCCAACCTGTGCAAAATGAGAAATTGCTTTTCCATATACAATCCAATGTTTCAGAAAAACTTCAAAATTCAATAAATAATTTCACTACTTTTTTTTTAAATATTGCTCTTAAAAAGCCTTAAAAGAAAGCAATTTTAATTTTGTGGTACTTTCATCTTCTTTTCGGCACTATTTTTCCAGTCCATTAGGAACATTTTGAAATTTTAAATTCCATCCCTGGTTCGTTATAAATGAGTATACATACATACATATGTACACATGAATGTCTGCATCTACTATGCATTTACTATGTACGTATGTATGTATACTTGTGAATAAGCAAAATTAAATCCCTTTAGCAAAAATCATATAGCGATTCTACAATAGCGCAGTGGCAGTGGCAGTGACAGTTTTTAACACGCAGTAATAGTTCGAAACACTGCCACTGCCACTGCGCTATTAGGTGCATTTTTTTGTAAGTGAGCGACAAAAGAACGCTAAACTCGGGTAAAATTTCCTTTTAGCCACTTAAACAACCCTGTTGGTAACTGACGAGAAACACGTGATTAGTTTAACGGGATTTAGATACAAAAACCTATGAAAATTAGTAATTATGAGAGGTATTTGCGTAATATATATACTTATTTAAAATATAAGTCATGTATATAAGGAAACAAAAATTTCCCTCTCCACTTTCCCATTAACAATTCACAATAGAACAGATTTTTCACTTAACAACACTACCCTTCAGGTCGCGTATTTTTTAACCGACCTAGCTGAACTCGGATAAATAGCCGAGTTTGTGTTGTTGCTTTGCATGTATTTCGTAATTTAAGCGAGTGTTCTTTTGTAGCTCGGTTACAAAAGAATGCACCTATTGTAGAATCGCTAATAGCCATCTCGAATGTTCAGCCAACGCGAGCAGTGCAATGAGAAGAAAAACCATTAGTCTGTTCCAATAGCAGTCCGGTTTACAGGATTTAGTCAGAACTTACAGGAAGTCGTTCCTATTGACATAAAACCTGTAAGTGGGAACACATTTGAGAGAGTAACTGAGCAACTGTTCCTAGTCAGAAGTTACAGGATTTAGTCCGGAGTTTCTTTTCCTGTAAGTTCATGAAAAGTGTCAAACGATCAGCTGATTTGCATGTGCAAGCAAAAACTAACAGCGGTGAAAGCAAAGTACCTTATAGTTGTAAAAAAAAATGGAAGTAAACAACAAAATGTTTGAATATGTATAGATTTTAATAATTATTTAGTGATATTTCAGCTAAATCAGTATTGTACAAATGACATGTAAACAAACCAACTGACGTTTTTACAGGAAATAGTGCTTTTTGCGTTCCTATGCACTTCTGCATCTGTTCTCCTTTTACTCTCACTTGAGAGAGTAAATTTGTAGTTTGACAGTTCCACAGGTTTTAGTCCGAATTTCAAAGGAACAGACTAAATAACACCAATGAAGCAAAGCAAAGCCTACTTCGATGTTGGGAAACAAAAGCAGTAACAACAACGAAGCGCACCGTAGCCTACTTCGTTGCTTTCAGTGAGTGAAGCGAAGAATAAGATTTTTAAATCTGAAGTTCAGTTAAATAATTGGCGTCGCTGCGCACAAAATGTGCTGAAGGAGCTACTGGTTCAATTTAACCAAGAAAATTTATTTAAGGAACTATCTAGTATGTGTGTATACTTTTATTTATTAACAAAGTGAGTTATTATTGATTCCGTTTTAGACGCTGGCATAACCTACATAAGACTGCAATACATAAACGATGCGGATATCTCAGATGCTGTTAAAAGTGTAGGCGAACGGGCGGAGTTCAGGGAAAAACTTTGGCTTTGGCGACAACAAAAGTATCCGAGACCTAAAAAAAAACGATTTCAGATTGGACCAACAAGGTGTTTTATTTTTCTTAAAGTGAAAATGCAAAAAGACGTAACAAACATCGACGCTGAAATGTAAAAAGTCATAACTAATAAAAAATTCAAAATTCATTTTTGATTGATATGATGGATTTCTTCGTTTAACGAAAAAAAATTAGTCACGACTTTTTCCATTTTAGTGACGATGTTTGTTACATCTCTTTGCATTTCAGGTGACGACATATTCCATAATACATATAATACTTGTATCATTTTAAAGTTTTTGCTAGATGAAGTGCTTCGTGAAACTTCTGATGGTCGATCACTTATTTCATTGCGTTCAGATGACGAGAAAACACCCAGGCTAACTGAAAGTCAGCGCTGTAAACTAATAAATGCAATTTGTAGCTACACAGCTGAGCACAACAT